AGTGAATACATCTGTTTGAATTGCATTTTATCTGTTGACTGTTTGTTTGATCTGTTCGTGTTTTATGTTTAAACTATTAATTGAAGGCCTTATCAGCGGCCGAACCGGAAATGGGTTAGTGTATTATGATCGTCATATTTAATATGATTTTATGGTATAATTATCTGAAAACTGATTAGGTATGATTAAATTAGTTTAAATACTGATCAATTGCAGAGTTGGCCTTATTTACCGAACTACCCCTAGTGGACCACTATCTCACACACACACTCGAGCCTTATACATTGAATCAAACATTTCTTTGGCCTATTTGTGAGACCCTTAGCCGACCATAGAGAGAGAGAGACTTGAGGAGTTGAGTCCATCTCAATATTGCTTGGAAATTGAAGAATTGTTGAAGGGTAGATTGCATATTTGAGCTCCCTTCTTGAACTACAAGACTAAAGGTAGCTCCATTGTCTTCTTGTTCATGTTTTAAGTTGATTCTTGCATGGTTCATGTCATATTGATGGAGTGTAGAGCCAAAACATGGTTTAGATGTTGAATTATGGCTTAATTGTTGCATGCATGTACATATATTGAAGTTTTGAGGTTGTAGTCCACGTTTCCTCACATGCATGTCCATCTTTTGGTCATACTCCATGAGTTCATCTTGTTTTTGAAGGTTTGAGCTCTTTTGAAACAGCAATAAAGCTTTGAAAATGATTTAAGATCATGCATGTTTGCAAGTTCTCCATGTTCTTGGAAAATGGTATGAAATTGGATTTGAATTAAACACCTTTGGGCTTTGATTTCTCAAATTGAGCTTTGAACCATGTTATTCTATGTGTTTATAAATGTTTTCCAGAAAATGGGCCCAAGAGGATCGGTTTTGATGCATTTGAACTTGAGTTTGAGCTTGGAGGTGCAATCTGGGTTTTCCAGATTTTGCACTTCCGCTCGAGCGTGGAAATTGGAGCTCGAGCGTGGAATCCGAGCAACCAGCATCTCTCTGCACTGTTTTACAGTCCGCTCGAGCGGAGGATCGGGCGCTCGAGCGGAGTCATGTCTCAAGCTCGAGCGGGCGTCGAGCGGAGATTTCACCCATCCAGTTCTTTTACAGTACGCTCGAGCGGGAAAGTTACGCTCGAGCGTGTACCTTTAATGCATGACCGCTCGAGCGGGGAAACCTGCGCTCGAGCGGGACTCTGTTTTTCTGAAAATGCTTTTAAGTGTGCCTCCTTGTATCCTCATCCTATCCTAGGTATTCTTAGGCCTAGTTTAAGATATCTTATTGAGGATATAGAGGTAGAACACACCGAGGCATTAGGGATTAAGTTGTTATATTTCCCAACTGCGTAGCTTAGTGTGTTCAATCTGTTAACTGTGTAGGGTTGGCGACTGGGGAGACACGCTCTAGCTTACTGTAGCCCGAACTCTGTGAGTAACAATTGTGTAAAGATATGTTCAACTGATATCTTTTGAATACTGAACTGAACTGTTTACTGAACTGGTATTACCGAATGAATGTATGTCCTTTATTTCTGAACTGTACTGTGGCATCCTTAGTACCTACTGTTTACTGTTACTGTTACTGTTACAGAGATCTCTGTCGGTTCCCTCGTGGAGCCACTACTGTTTACTGACTGATGGCCATCATTACTGTTCGGTCTTTTAAGACCTACTGTTACTGTTATGCTAATGGATGTACCACATATGACTGTTTACTATACTGAACAACTGAAATACTGATTGAATTGAACTGTTTTCATTACTGTAAGGACATTCATTCTAAACCCCTTTACGCTTTATGTTATTCACTGGGCTTTAGCTCACTGTTTATATATATATGTAGGTGCTCAGCCACCAGATCCGAGCTAGGAGCGTCAGAGTAACTCCAGTTTTGTCAAGCCAGCCTATGTGCCTCACTGCGAGGTTCCGAGCCTATCGTGTTAAGGCTTAGGGGTGTTTTACAATTCCCCCTTCTGCACCGTCTCACTGTTTTGTATAGACTGAATGTTTACCGTACTGTTTAATAGGGTTGAGTCCCTGGTCGGAATGATTGTAAATATTGTGCATACTGTTCTGTACTGGTTACGTATAATGTGTGAAAAGTCTTTTTGCATATAGACTGTCGCAGCTCATTGGGTATTGTTTATTTACTGTTTTGGCTTCCGCCAGGCCCTGTACTCTGTTTTACTGTATTACTGTCCTGCAGGCCTTCGGTAATCTCGGATTACTGGCCGGTTACGGTGCTAAACCCATAGGGCCGGGTTTGGGTCGTGACAATTGCATAGGAAGACCTCCACTAGAAGTGAAAGTTTGAATTGGGCATCTGCAAGACCTGCCCTTTTCTTCACGTTGTTGATGTTTGTTGATTTTCACTATGCACCATTAAAGATGGTAGACATTTTTTGGTGGGTTGGTATCTCTCTCTGCCTCTCTTTGTGTATAAATAGAGATGGGAGGGAGATGATGTATTGTATCAGAAATTTGAGAGAGAAAGCTGTGAGTTGAGTGAGAAGAGTTGTTCTCCTCCTCTGTTTTCTATTTTGCTTCATTTTAGTGAAAATTTCTCATTTCTGTCCGTGGATGTAGGCATTGGGTCGAATCACGTAAATATTGTCTTCTTTGTATGTGTGAGATAATTTTTCTGGGTGTGTTTGATCCTAACAGTTTGATCCTAACAGGGAGAGTGATAATGGGTTTGTATGGACTTACAATCACGTCTAATAGTAATAACAATAGTGGATGTAGCATTAAGGTTAAGGTTTTGAAAGTTGGAGAAAACAATAATGTAAAATTTTATTATTATTTAAAAATTAGGGAGATTTACCAATAAATCCCAAAATTTAAACTTATGAACCAATTGGTCCCATTTTTATTCTATTAAACCATTTAGTCCCATTTAATTGTGAGGGACTTAATTACCCTCATCTAACCGTAAGACACACACGGGCTGGCATGGGCTCTTTCTCCTATCACACACAGATACACACATACATTGTGAGGGGCAGAGACACACACACATACACACAGATACACACATACATTGTGAGGGGCACGCACACACACACACAGATACACACACACACACAGATACACACACACAGATACACACATACATTGTGAGGGGCAGACACACACACATACACAGATACACACATACATTGTGAGGGGCAGACACACACACAGATACACACATACATTGCGAGGGGCAGACACACACACACACACAATAGCTAATCGATGCAACGCCGTTGCTGACCGATCTGATCTTCCTGAGCCGTCGGTTCGTGCGTCGCCCGCCGAGCCTCCGCGGCAGTCGGAGAATGATGCGCGAGCCGGAGTTGAGGGTAAGAGAGGCGGCGGTGGAGCAGATCGAAGAGAGGCAAAGCGATTGGGCGTACTGGAAGCCGATCGTGATTCTGGATCTGTTGTGGAACTTCGCGGCCATTAATGGAGGAAATTGAAGGCTCTGACTCTTGGATATTCCTAAATTCACTGTTCCGAAGCTTCCATGGCCGAGTAAATCGCCTCGAACCCACTCCATGGGAGCGAAAATCAGATTGAATTCTGGGTTTTGCCTTGCCTTGCTTGTGGTCTCACTCTGTCACAACTAACTCTGTTTTGGGGATTGGTATATATACATATATATATATATATATATATAAGATCTTGATATTGGTGGCGAAAAACATAACAAATATGGGTAAAATCGTCCACACAGTTACACTAAATATGGAAAATAGGATCAGCAAAAAACAAACTTCCCCACTGATAGGACTTATCCGAACAAAAGAATAAAGTTGGGACTAATTGGTTTAATAGTTTGTGAAATGGGATTTATTGGTAAATTTTCCTAAAAATTAATAGGGTAAATTGAAAAATAAATAAATAAATAATTACAAGTTAAGTGTGATATAAAGTGAATAAGTGATGTTAATTGGAGGAATCTCTGTAGTGTGCAAATCTAAACTCGCCAACCATATGCTCTTCAACCGTAAAAATATCCCACTTATATTTCACAATGAAAAATTATATTCATACATAAAATTATACCAAAATCTCAACAAGAATGATATGATAATATCATTTTTATAAATATATTTATTTTTATGGGTGTATTATTTTAAAGTGAAATGCTCACATTCACATGAACACATTCTCAACACGCATATCAAAAAACAAAAAATCTCAGCGGCAGTGGTAGGCAGCTCGAAACTGAGCGGCTTGAAATGGCTCGAATTCAAAAACGGCCTCGTTTTTGAGATGAAGGTGAAGCAGAACCAGAAGCAGGGGAGGGAGGAGGAGGAGGAGGAGGAGGAGGGGAGGAGTAAGAAGGAGGAGGGACTGGAGGGAGAGGAGGAGGGACTGGAGGGGGCCCAACATTTGGGGCTGGAAGCGGGGGCCGGGGGGCGGAGGCGAGGCAGAGCCGGCGATCGTTGGTGCTGCGACGATCGGCGGCAGCGAGGCGACGGCGGTGGCAGTGGCGAGGTGAGTAGCGACGATCCTCTCTCCCTCTTTCTCCTCTGTTCTTCCTCCTCTCTTCTCTCCCTCTTTCTCCTCTGCTTCTTCCTCCTCTCTTCTCTTCCTCTTTCGAGCCAATTCGAGCCATTGGATTCGAGTTACGGCTCATTTCCGAAATCTCAGTATAGATCTCTTTATTCCAATATCACTCTCATCTTCAATTTTAAAATCCTAATTTTTCTTCCATCCACCTCTCATTCATCATCATTGCCGCCACTCTCAGCCATCCATCGCCACTCCTAATTCATCTCCTTTTATCTTAGATCTTTACAGTCAGCCTTGAGTGAATAATTTGCAGGAAAAAAAAAGATTTGTAGGAGTGTATGGTTCATGACAGAAAGTGGTCATGAGGAAAGGGAAAAGGAGAAGACGACAAATAAGGGAGATGGCACTTGCAGTGATGGATAGTTGTGATATTTTAGAATCAAGGTTTTGGTGGAAGAAGATAAGGGTATTATGCTATTTTTATTATAAGACAAAATTGCATAAATAAAAAATTTAATTAGATGTGTGAACTGAAAGGATTTGGCGTATGAAAATCATATATAAATTTTATGTTTGTATATAATTACTACTATTTTACTCACAAATTGCATATGGAAAATAAAACTATATTCGGAGGGAAATTCCGTTACTACCTCATTTCGCGCTACAAATAAAACAGAGTTTATTTCCCAACCCAACTACGAGCAGAGCCATATAGACTCTACAGTTTCATCAAGTAATCTCTCTCTCTCTCTCTCTCTCTCTCTCTCTCTCTCTCTCTTTGCTTCTTCAAATCTGAAACTACCGTAGACAGAGATTGCCAAAGACATTATTGACTCTGTTTTTCATCTATATATGTGTAGAGTTCTTGATTTTCACAGTGTTTTTCACTTCCATACATATTTCTGAGTGTATATATATGTATGTGTTATCACTATACCAATTTCATTAAATTCGTTGTTATGATTTATTGGGCACCTTTTGTGTTACTGAAATTCAATCATTGAATAATTTTCTTCAAGAAGAGCAGGTTCGGGTCAGGGTGTGCTTCTTTAAATTTCGATTATCATTAATTGACATTTTGGAAGTTAGGGATATGTTCCAAAAGAATCGAGTCTGTCCCCAAGATCTCATCATGCAATCCTCTCTCTCTCTCTCTCTCTCTCTAGAATTGTTCTGACTGAGAATTGAATTTGGTTGAATTGTATGAGAGAAGCTGATACTCCTTACTTGAATATTGTTGACTCTATTTCTTGATTGATGTTTTCTGCATAAATCTTGAGTTCTTGTACCTTAGGTTAGGTTGTGCTTGGATCATGGATTTAGACAGAGATTTGGTAAAGGAAAGAGAAAAAATAGATGAAATGTACCTATATTTCATTCACATTTTACTTACATTTTATCTTTCTCTTTCTAAATCTTTACTCAAATCCATGATCCAAACACAACCTTAATGTTTTCAATATCCTTGTTTTTTAAGTTCTTGATTGATGAATATCAATAAATACATAGATTTTTTCTGACTACCATAAATATGTTATATACTTTGTTACTGTGAGATTACTGCTCAATGGCTTCTCTTCCTCATTTGTTGACACACAATTTTGGGTTTCGGCCATTCAACAATTGTCATGTAAAATTATGTTTTTCTGAAAATTATGTTAGTAAATGCAATAAAGTGTTTGAACAACTATCTCAAAATCTTGAGCAATTATGTTTTGATCAATTTATATCACAATCCTGGGCTCTCTCTCTCATTTAGTGCCCATTTGTGAACTTGGATTTTTTAGTTGCTTTTTGCTTTTTTTATGTGGTGGAAAAAGTTGATGTGTTTGACAATGAATTTTGTAGCGATTGACTGATGTGTTTGATGTGACCCTTTGCTAATGGGGTTGATTTTTTTTTGTTTTTTTTGCTTTTTTTGTGTCACCCCAAATGTGGCCTGGATTTTTTTCTTCTCTTTCATTTTATTTTTTAGTTTTCTATCTTTCTTTTCATTACAGATGGCAAATCTTCAAGCTGCATAAGTTATATTTGTAATTAATTGATGCTCTCAAGTTTAAATTTTTTGATGATATTTTTTAATTATTGAATGAACGTAATCCTAAATTTTTTGTCCCGATTCAAATTTATAGATCACATCTTTGGATTATCCTTAAGTAGATTTGAGCCAATCAGATGGCAAAGGTAAAGAATCTGTGTTGTTGCTGCTTATGTAGTTCAATATCATCATCTCATCAATTTATGTTGTGTTTGTCGATAAATTAAAGCTAGCTGGTGAATTGGCAGTATAAGAAGGTTGAGGTTATTGGACGCGGAGCCGATGGTGTTGTTTATAAAGGTCTTGATCGCGAGACTAATCAGACTGTAGCTATAAAGAAGCTACATTATATACACTGCTACAATGGTGTCCCAGATATAACAATCCGAGAAATCTCTCTGCTAGGACAGATGGACCACAACAACATAGTCAAGTAAGTTATTTCCTCGGAGTTCTGATTACACAAAAAATAAATAAATAAAAAAATCTGATCAATGTTTCTATGCTTTTACGTGTATCTCTCTCTCTCTCTCTCTCTTTTTTTTTTTTTCCTTTCTTTTTTCTCTCTCATATATAGATTGTATCCTTGGGTGCTCAATACAAATCATTATATTTCCTTAACAAAACCTTGGTTAACAGGTTGCTGGATGTAGCATGCGATGATTACAACAAATGTCATTTGATTTTTGAATATCTGGACCTTGATCTGAAGAAATTCATGGAGAATAATCCGTTGGCATGTTTGAATAAACAAAGGATAAAGGTGGTTGATAAGTCTTTTCCATCTATTTTTTTATATATTTCTTCTTGCAGTAGCCGGGAATTCACTACCCCCCCCCCCTGCAGAATTTTTTGCATCAAATTCTTTTGGGTGTTGCATACTGTCATAAGCGTGGAGTTATGCACCGAGACTTGAAGCCTGCGAATTTGCTGCTAGATCTCAATGCCTCTGTAGTGAAGATTGCGGACTTTGGATTGGCCAGGACTTTTCAGATTCCTATTAGGGAATATAGTCCCGAGGTATTTCTTGTAGCCTTTTAAGTTCATTTCGACTGAATGTAGCCTATAAATTGTCTGTTTCTAATCAACAATTGCCTTAAAATGAAGTTGATAGGATACATGAGTTAACTTTGTTTTGTATGTTCGATTGCTGTTTAAGAATGTAATGAAATTGGTAATTTTTTTCATCAGGTAGTAACTCTATGGTACAGACCACCCGAAATCCTCCTTGGCTCCCGGGTATACTCCACGCCTGTCGATGTGTGGTCCGTAGGCTGTATATTTGCTGAGATGGTTATGCATCAGCCTCTGTTTGATGGTCACTCCAAGATTAGTCACCTGCATCAAATTTTTAGGTGTTACAAACTACTAATACATTTGTTATTTATTTATTTATTTTAAAATTTTCCACAACAATCATATTTATGTTCAGTTTCTTTTATGGTAAAGGATTATGGGGACACCAGACGAGACAACATGGCCCGGAGTGACCTCACTACCAAATTACAGCCTTGACTTTCCCAAGCACAATCCTGAGGTAATATCGGCTTTCCTTCAGTTTAATTTATTTATTTTTTGCAAGTTAATTTGTAAATTTTTAATAATTTTTTTCACTTTCTTCCATGCAGAACCTGAAAGATTATTTTCCTCAACTCAAACCAGCTGCACTTGATCTTCTTTCTGTAAGTTGTTGCTTTCTACTGTATTTTGAGAATCGAGTGATTTGAAGGAATGGAAATAGGGCCTATTGAATCTTCATTTATGGATAACTAACAATGAATCATTGCTCAGTACCTTTCCATCTTTCACTATTTAGTTGAACTGCCCTCTCTTGTTTATAAAGTTCTTTTAATTTTATCTTTCTTTCTTTTCTTTATTTTTTTCCTTTTTCCTTTTTTTCGCTAACACTCCATATGTTTCGATTGAAATGCTAACGTTGTTCATATTGTTGGAATTAGAAAATATAGTTATTTGGATGAAAATGTTTTCCACTTTTAAAAGGTAGAAAATGTTTTGCAGACTAAAATTATACCGTCACCACCACATCACCACCACCACCATCCCACCACCTTTGCTGCCACCCCACCAACACCACCATCACTTGCATATTAGTTTCAAGGTCACAACCAAACATAAGAAAACATTTCCTACGGAGAAAAATGTTATTTGTTGGGAAATATTTTTCACTTAAACAAACATAACAATACTTTGTTTACTTTCTTTGTTTCTTTACTTTATTTCTGTACTTCATTTCAAGGAAAATGTTTATGCTATTTTCTTTCTTCGTAAGAAAATGTTTTCTACCAAAAGATCTTTCCTTTTTTCCCTCACTCTTTTGGACCCTGTAGTTTATGTTAATTTTTGCACATTTTCGTCCAGGAAATGCTCTGCATGGATCCATCTAGAAGAATTTCAGCTCCTTGTGCGCTTGAGCATGCATACTTCAAGGAAGAAGAAGAAGAAGACGAGGATGATGATGATGATGACGATGATGATGATTTTTGATTCCATGACCATAACTTTTCTCTGCTGTTTTGTTATGTTTACGGACTATCTCTGGGTGATCTTTCTTTCATTCATTGTAAATTTTCTCCCAACTCGAAAGCTTTTGTTGCAACCAATTTTGTGCTAGGAACCAGATTTTATGCAATTAGATTGTAATTAGGTTTTATAAACTCAGATCTCAATCTAACTCAACTCAAAAAATTTGTCTACATCCCAATCCATTTGATTTGGTTTCAAAGAAACATTTTGTGGGCCTTAAACTGCGTGTTTGGCATCATTTTTTATTTTTTATTTTTTGAGAAACATGTAATCTTATTTGATTACTTGTTTCTAAAACCATTTTCGATTTTTTTTTGTTTGACCCTTCAAATTTTAGTTAAAAAGTGGATTCCATTAGGCCGCTTTTCAACCATTGAAAGGATAGAAGCCATGCATTGGACACAACTATTAATTCAATGCATGTACTAGGAAATACGATGAATGAATGAAGGGAAATCAACAAGTGAAAAAATAAAACAAAGAAACCATGACAGCATACAACCTTTTATTACTACGAGTTACAGATAAAAGCTTAAGAATTTAGCCCAGCAACAAGGTGTATGCATGCTACAAGTAAAAGGAATAGAATAAAATGTATCTCAGCCTTGACAAGTGGTCAGTTCAGTGATCCTTTATGAACAACAGATTTGATAGCCTGAAGATGCCCAAAAGAACCTAAAAGGCTAAAACCCAACAGCAGTTTGCATTCGTGGAAACGAAAAAATATGCATAGAAAGAAATGAGCATATATAGGGGAAAAAAACATTGGCAACATAAAATTGATCCTTAAACTACGTATCGTTAACCAATACTAACTTTAGTCAACATGTAGGAATTCTACATATGCCATAATGCCGAAATCAGTAAATATCCAGAACCAGTCCCTGCAAAGAAAGGGAGGTCTAGAAAAGGCAATGAAACAAACAAACCCATCACCAAATGAAGCCAACATTTTGGCCTCAATGATCTCTCTGTGAGAATATATTGTATATATGGCAGGATTATGTATATATGGCATGATTGTGTATCGTAGGAATTAGGAAAGATTGTGGTACTGTATATATGGCAGGATTGTATATATATGGCATGATTGTGTATCGTAGGAATTAGGAAAGATTATGGTGTAAATAGGAATTTTTTATTTCCTTTTTTTCAGATATAGATTTAAGGCTATATAATCTAGTGAACTCTTTGTAAACAAATACAATTGAATATACAGCAACATTCAGAAATCTTACACTCTCAACCCTCTCCGACCCCGATTGTGCCACCATTGGAGGATTCAGCGGGGAAAGAGAACCATGAGAGCCTCTCACAACCTTACTCTGCCAAGAAAACTAAGAAAGTGGGGACAAAAGCAAAACAACAGCAAAATCAATCTTTCGAGAAAGAGTTGCAAGAAATGCAAGAAAAGCTTCAACAACTGAGGATCAAGAAGGAGCAAACTGGGAGCTATTGAAGGCCCAAGAGGAGACTTTGAAGATTAAGGAGGAGGAGCTTTTCTAAAAAAATACTCTTGATTATTTCTCTCACAATTTGTATGCATTCTTTTAAACTACAGAACTTGTTTGATTTGATTTTCAATTTTTTAATTTTAAATGCACCTAAAAAGTATATATTAAAAAAACTAGTTAAAGACCAAAAGAAAACCAATGTGCAAACATTTTTTATGTAGATATTTATTCACATAAATACATTTAGATTAAGTAAAAAAATTGCCTAAAATAGAAATTTTTTAACTAATAGGGGGAACAAAAACTATAAAACAGTTTTTTGAAAACAAAACAATCATGTTTGGAGGGAAATTCTGTTTCATCTCATTTGGTGCTCCAACTGACATCCCCTCTCTCTCGTTGTATATACAATACATACTTTAAAACTCAACTACAAACAGAGCCAGGGAAGCAATTTCATCAAGTAAGCTCCCCTCTCTCTCTCTCTCTCTCTCTCTGTGCTTATAACAATTGGGTTTCATTGCTTCTTCAAATCTGAAACTATTGTATTCAATTTCGTGATGTGTTGTCATAAATACTTGATGGAGATATATGTTTCTTGGCTCCTCTGTATTACTGAATTCAATTATTGAATAATTTTCTTCAAGAAGAGCAAGTTTGGTGTTAAAATTCAATCTCTTTCTGTCTATGTCTGTCTGTCTCTCTCTATAATTGTTCAGACTCTGAATAGCTTTCTTGATAGAACAGTATCGAAATTGGTTGAAATGCATGAGAGAAAAAAGGGCACTGCTGATAGTGCTTAAATGAAGATTGATGATTCTCTGTTTCTTGAACTGCTTTTTTTCTTCTTTTGATAAGCATAATTTCTGGGTTTGGCTTATCTGAGATTATCATCAATAACATATTTTCTTCTTTTGATAAGCATAATTTCTGGGTTTGGCTTATCTGAGATTATCATCAATAACATATTTTCTTCTTTTGATAAGCATAATTTCTGGGTTTGGCTTATCTGAGATTATCATCAATAACATATTTTCTTCTTTTGATAAGCATAATTTCTGGGTTTGGCTTATCTGAGATTATCATCAATAACATATTTTCTTCTTTTGATAAGCATAATTTCTGGGTTTGGCTTATCTGAGATTATCATCAATAACATATTTTCTTCTTTTGATAAGCATAATTTCTGGGTTTGGCTTATCTGAGATTATCATCAATAACATATTTTCTTCTTTTGATAAGCATAATTTCTGGGTTTGGCTTATCTGAGATTATCATCAATAACATATTTTCTTCTTTTGATAAGCATGATTTCTGGGTTTGGCTTATGTTTTCTGAATATCATGTTACTATCTCCCATTCTTGGAAGGTGAAGCTTTGTGCATCCTGGGATCAATCTATCATATATTTAGTGGGTTTTCTCTATTTCTGTTCTTTTCATATGGGTGACTTGTTTAATTTATTTTTTTTGTCTTGTTGTTTTTCTCATGTGTTATTAAAGTTTGATTGAGTTAGCATTTTTAATGATCTTTTTTTCACTAGTACAAAATAAGCATAATAATTTTAAAATTCTGGTCTAATTGAAAATTTCTAGATCACAGCATCTTTGCATTATCCTCCAGTGGCTTTGATCCAACCAAATGGAAAAGGTATAGAATCTATGTATCTGTGTTGGGATTATGCAGTTCAATATCATCATCATCGATTTATGTTTTGTTTGTCAATAAATACCTGTGAATTGGCAGTATGAGATGAAAGATGTTATTGGAAAAGGAGGGTATGGTGTTGTTTACAAAGGTCATGATCTCGAGACTGATCAGATTGTAGCTATAAAGAAGATGTATGCTTTGGACTTGAACAACAGTGCAACAATGCAAGAAATCTCTCTGTTGAAAGAGATGGAACATGCCAACATTGTCAAGTATGTCATCTCCTTGGAATTCTGATTACAAAAAATGCATTAAAAATCTGATCAATATTTCTATGATACCTTTGTGAGCGTGTTGGCGCATAGACACACAAATTTGAGGTTTTTTTGGATAATTAACACTGCCTTTTTTTATGATCGGGGTGACAAACAATTAAATAGGTACTTTAACCTGTGGCATCACCAATTAGATAATGTCTTCATATCACTTCTGACAAGAAAAACATCTTAATTTGATTGTATTTTTGTTGAAACTTGAAAGAGCCAACTATTTGGCATCCTTTTGTACTGAAAAAATCTAAGAGACTGAACACACCCGTTGATAAATAGGATTCATTTACATCTTTTTATTGTTTTTTATTATATGTATAGATAGATTGAATCCTTAGTACTTCATATATTTCACTTATATACTTAATAGGACCTCGGTTAACAGGTTGCTGGAAGCAAAACCTAATACTGACAAAGGAAGCTACTTGATTTTTGAATATCTGGACTATGATCTGGAGAAATTCATGAGGAAATTTCCTGAAATATCTAAGAATAAACAAAGAATAAAGGTGGGTCGATAGATCTTTTCCATATTATGTTCCATGCATTGCTTGTTTGCATCCTCATGATATGTTGCTTAACTTCTTCTTCTTCATTTTCTTCTCCCCCTTTGCAGAATTTTATGCGTCAAATTCTTTCAGGTCTTGCGTACTGTCATAAGCTCAAAATTATTCACCGTGATTTGAGGCCTGACAATTTGCTGGTAGATCGCGAAGGCTCCGTGGTGAAGATTGCAGACTTTGGATTGGCCAGGAAATTTGGAAGTCCTCTTGGGGAATATTGTCAGGAGGTATTTCTTGTATCCTTTAAGTTCATTTTTTGCCTGAATGTGGCCTTTAAATTGTCTGTTTTATTGCTGTTCCTAATCCACGATGCTTTCATCTGTTTTTTTGCATTTTTGCCTTGGCAATTGTAAGAATCCGACTTTCACCTTAGATGATGTTCACATATGATTTTTCTTCAATTTTTTTCTTTTTTTTTTCTTTTTAAAGTTTTTGGTTGGGTTCACTTGCTGGCTGTCTAATACAACAATTGCTTTAAAATGAAGTTGGTAGGATACCTGAGTTGAACTTTGTTAATTTCGTATTTCGATCTTGAAATTTCAATTGTTTTTTTTTATGAATCTAATATAACGGGTAGTTTTCTTCATCAGGTAGTAAATTTACGTTACATGCCACCAGAAATCCTCCTTGGATCCCATTTATACTCCACCCATGTTGATGTGTGGTCTGTAGGCTGTATATTTGCTGAGATGATTGATCATCAGCCTCTGTTTAATGAATTCTTCGAGAAAGATCGTCTGCAGACTGTGCATAAAATTTTTAGGTGTGCTTGTGTGCACATGCATCATTTTTTATTTATTTATATTTTTCCACTACAAGAATATTTATGTTCAGTTTTTTTTATTGCAGCATTATGGGGACACCAGATGCAACAACATGGCCTGGAGTGACCTCACTACCGGATTACATACCTGATGACTTTCCCAAGCAAGATCCTAAGGTAACATCGATTTTTGATTCATTATTTATTTATTTTGCAAGTCATCAAGTTGTAAAATTTGTTGTCGCTTTCCCTTTCTTTGATGCAGAACCTAGCAGAATACGTTCCTAATCTTGAACCCGCTGGAGTTGATCTTCTTTCTGTAAGTTGTTTGTAATGTGTTTTTGAGAATATTGATCTGAATGAACATTTTTCTATAATGTGACAGTTTTGCTTTTGATAGCAATGAAAATAGAGCCTAATGAATCTTCATCTTTGGATGTTTGGATTGCAATGCTCCTTTAGTTTAAGTACCCTCTCTAGTTTATAATGTTCTTTTTATTTTATTTTTCCTTTTTTCCTTTTCTCTTTCTTTCACTTATGCTCAACATAAAACATTTTTGGCATTTTTTGACGTTTGGCACAACAGATAAAACGAAAGTTAACAAAATGTTTTGTGGTCAACGGAAAATCGGCTTATTTGGGTGGAAAATATTTTTCTACTTTTTAAATCGAGAAAATGTTTTCAGGACAAAAGTCTTAACAATGCCACTATACACCACCAGCGCCCTACCCCCACCACTACCACTGCTGAATGCTACCACTACTCCACTGCTAGCACTTTAGTTTTAAGATCCCAACCAAACACAAGAAAAACTTTCTACGAAAAATACTTTATGAAAAAATGTTCTTCATAGGAAAATATTTTCCACCGAAAATATACTTTGTTTACTCTCTTTCTTCCTTAATTTTCTTTCTAGGAAATGTTTATGTTACTTTATATCTTTCTACAAAATGTTTACTGTCATTTTTCATAGGAAAATGTTTTCCGACAAAAAAATCCTTCTTTCTTCGTCTTCCTGTTTTTTTCTTTCTTTCTCTCTCACTCTCTTAGACCATCTAGTTTATGATAAATTTGCCTATTTTCATGCAGGAAATGCTCTGCTTGAATCCAGCTAGAAGAATATCAGCTCTTGATGCACTTGCGCATGCATACTTCAAGAATGATGATGATGCTGCTGCTGAAGAAGAAGAAGATAATGTTGGCGGTGATGATGATGATCCTTGATTCCAAGTCCATAACTTTTCTTTGCTATTGTTGTTATGTTGATAGACTATCTCTAGGTGATCTTTCTTTCAGTCACTGTAAATTTTCTCCCAACTCAAAAGCTTTTGTTGCAACCAATTTGTGCTAGGAACTGGGTTTTATGCAATTACATTGTAATTAGGTTTTATAAACTCAGATCTCAATCTAACTCAACTCGACAAATTTGTCTACATCCCAATCCATTGGATTCGGTTTCAAAGAAATATTTTGTTGCCCTTACATTGCTTGATTGGCATCATTTTTGTTTTTTGTTTTTATTGTTTAAGAAACATGTAATCTTGCTTGATGACTTGCTCCTAAAACTATTTTCGTAATTTTTCTGTCACGACCCAAACCCGGCCCTATGGGTTTAGCACCGTAACCGGCCAGTAATCCGAGATTACCGAAGGCCTGCAGAACAGTAATACAGTAAAACAGAGTACAGGGCCTGGCGGAAGCCAATACAGTAAACAAATAGTTTGGATTCGGTTTCAAAGAAATATTTTGTTGCCCTTAAATTGCTTGTTTGGCATCATTTTTGTTTTTTGTTTTTATTTTTTAAGAAACATGTAATCTTGCTTGATGACTTGCTCCTAAAACTATTTTCGTAATTTTTCCCCCTTCAAATTTTAGTTAAAAAATAGATTCCATTAGGCCACTTTTCAACCATCTTCCTAAAAAATATTCTCGATTATTTCTCTCACAATTTGAATGCGTTCTTTTAAACTATGTAACTTGTTTGATTCGATTTTCCATTTTTTTTAATTTTATTTTATTTTTTTAATTTTAGATGCACTTAAAAAGTATATGTGAAACATATATATTAAAAAACTAATTAAAGACACAAAACAAAATGAATTTGCAAATGTTTTTTATTTTAGATATTTATTTATATATACTTTACTTTTTAAATACATTTAGATTGCCCTTATTTGAAGACTGGTTAATATAACATAAAAAATTAAAAAGTTATTACAAATTGTCATATCGTTCTCACTATTTTTCTGCACATATTCACAAAGGGCATGATTGTTTGGACGGAATGGATAAAGGGGGATTGTAATTCATCGGACTGTTAGTTGTGAGATACATTGTTCTTGAACTATTTGGTTGGATTGGATTGGATTGGATTTGTATTCTATGTTTGTTTAGTCATGGGATTAGATGTTTGGATTGGACTATTTTTAGTGAATCTAATGTTTGGTTGGACGGACTGGATAAGGATAAATGTTCAAAAGATTATTTTACCCTTATAATTTATAATTTATATTTTTTATTTAATATATAATTTTAAATTTGTAATCTAAAAAAAATAATTTTATTTAATATATAAATATAAATTTAATTTTTAAACAACACTAAAAAAAATTAATTTATAAGGCCATAATTTTAATTTATTATTTTTAATTAAATTAAATTTTAATAATTTATATTTTTTATTTAACATAGAATTTTAAATTAACAACACTAAAAAAAGATATTAAATACAAGATGGTCAAAAATGTAATATCATAAGCTAATCTCATGGGATGAGTTATCCCGTGATTTCTATCCCATCCATATGGGATACAACAATCCAACAAATACGGGATTAGTAGTCCGGAACAAAAATTGACTACCGAACAACAGGCTAATACTCCAATTCCATGCCCCAATCCTTCAAAACAAACATTACCAAAAAGTCAAAAATTTAACTAAAATAGCTAATTCCGCTCAAGTTAAAAAAATTGCCTAAATTATAAATTTTTTTAATAATGAGAAAAAAGAAGAAGAAAAAAAAACTATAAAACAGTTTTTTGAAACAAAAACAAACATATTTGGAGGGAAATGCCGTTTCATCTCATTTGGTGCTCCAACCAACATCCTCTCTCTCTATATATATTACATAATTTGAAACTCAACTACGAACAGAGATAGAGAAGCAATTTCATCAAGTAAGCTCCTCTCTCTCTCTCTCTCTCTCTGTGCCTGTACAGTTGCGTTTCACTGCTTCAAATTTAAAACTATTGTTTTCAATTTTTTTTGATGTTTTTAATAAATCCTTAATGGACATATATGCACATTTCGATACATATATGTTTCTTGGCACCTCTCTCTCTCTGGAATTGAAACTGGCTGAAATGTATGAGAGAAAAAAGAGCACTGCTGATACTGCTTAATTGAATATTCATTGATGACTCTCTGTTCTTGAATTCTGGCGTTTTCTGTAGAATTCTTGATTTCTTGTTCCTAAATGTTTCTCAATTTCCTTATTTTTTAAAGTCCTTGATGGGTGAATTTCAATACATATATATAAAATTCTCTGCATACACATTGTTAGTATGAGATTATCACTCAATAATTTATGGGTTTGGGAATTTAACAAACGCCGAGTTTAAATTGTGTTTTCTCACAATCTTGGAAGGCGAAGCTCTGTGCATTCTCGAATCAATCTATCATATATTTACTGAATAGTTTCCCCGTGAATATTCATCACTCTGCTTCTTTAAGTTTTCTTCAGAATTCTTGATTTCTTGTTCCAGAGTTTTTTTAATTTTCCTTAATTATATATATATATATATTTTCAGTTCTTGATAGATGAATATCAATAAATATACAAATTTCTACATTTACACACATAAGTTATTTAAGATGTTATGTTTTCTGAATATCAAGTTACTATCTCCCATTCTCGGGAGGCGAAGCTTTGTGCATCTTGGGATCAATCTATCATATAATTAGAGGATTTTTCCGTGTTTCTGTTCTTTGCATATGAGCAACTTATTTGCAGTTTTTTTTTTTTTTTTTCGTCTTTTTGATTTTTTCATGTGTAAAGTTTGATTGAGTTAACATTTTTAATGATCCTTTTCACTATTACAAAATAAGCATAATAATCTTAAAATTCTGGTCTAATTGAAAATTTCTAGATCACAGCATCTTTGGATTATCCTCCGGTGGCTTTGATCCAACCAAATGGAAAAGGTATAGGATGTGTGTAACTGTGTTATGCTTATGTAGTTCAATATCATCATCCTCGATTTATTTTGTGTTGTCAATAAATCTAGCTGGTGAATTGGCAGTATGAGATGGGTGAGGTTATTGGATCCGGCGCCTTTGGTTTTGTTAACAAAGGTCTTCTTCTCGAGACTAAACAGACTGTAGCTATTGTTGGAAATGGTTATAAAATTCTGGATAAAACCAGAATTTTTTCCTAAGTTCGGTCTATTTTTTAGGTGGGCCCCGAGTGTCGATTTACTTGGGTCAAAGTGGTAACGCGTTCTATGCCGCGTTGTGATTCACGTGGTATATTTGGTTGCTCAAAACCATTACCGAGTGAATGGGAAATTGAAGCCAAAGTGTGCTCCATGAAAATGGAGTTTTGGTGGAAATTCCTTAAGGTTGTAAATTGGCTTATCCCACATTGATTTGGTGGGAAGTTTTGAAAGGGTTTATAAGGCTTAGGGTGAGATACTTGGGGTGTGCCCCAAGGGGTACCCAAGTGTTTTAGAGGGAGAGGTTATGGGCAAAATGGGCTAGACCCATTGGACCCAAAAATCACCACACGCGCGCCGCCGGCCGTCCGGTCGGTCGGGCTGGGCTTGGGCGCGGGTGTGTGGTTCTAATCTTTTTGGGCCAAAAACATTTGAATTTTATTTTATTTTTAATTAAAATAAAATTCAGAATTCAATAAACTGGTTTGGATTTATTGTTTATCCAAACAGGGCCCTTCCCGTTTTCAAACAGAATTAAACTGGTTAACAGATTCAAATCTGTTTGAATTCAAAACACAACAGGTATCATACCTGTTCAATTCAAAACCAAAAGCCACATACCTGTTCAATTCAAAACCAAAAGCCACATACCTGTTCAATTCAAAACCAAAAGCCACATACCTGTTCAATTCAAAACCAAAAGCCACATACCTGTTCAATTCAAAACCAAAAGCCACATACCTGTTCAATTCAAAACCAAAAGCCACATACCTGTTCAATTCAAAACCAAAAGCCACATACCTGTTCAATTCAAAACCAAAAGCCACATACCTGTTCAATTCAAAACCAAAAGCCACATACCTGTTCAATTCAAAACCAAAAGCCACATACCTGTTCAATTCAAAACCAAACAAATCTGTTTAAATTTGAATCTAACAGGTTTCATACCTGTTCAATTCAAATCCAAAAGCCACCTTTAGGCAAACAATTTGTAGTGCTGCTATTGTTTGTAGTAGATCATTTCATCCTGGGAGATAGACGTCCAAATTCTGAAAGCACCGTGGAGAGGACGAATCTGTCTTAAGGACACAGTGTTAAACACTGGACTTGATCAGAAAAGTTATTCAAATAAATTAACCAAGTAAGTTGTTTAATTTTATTCTGTCTTTATTTGTTTTTATCAGATTTTAATTTTGTTTTTGTAACAAAATAAAATCTGTAGTTTTATTTATTTATTTTTATTTCGAGTTTGATTTTTGTAATCAAACAAATTCTCTCCTTTTATCTATTTCTTTTATTCTTGTTGTTGTTTTGTACACAACAGAATTTAATCTATTTAAATACAGTGAAGATTGTCCTACAGCTATAAAGACGGTGTATGCTTCGGAGGACTTGCACAGCAGTGTCCCAAGTACAATAATGCAAGAAATCTATCTGCTGAAAGAGATGGAACATGCCAACATTGTCAAGTAAGTCATCTCCTTGGAATTCTGATTACGAAAAATCCATTAAAAATCTGATCGATGTTTCTATGCTTTTGTGTGTGAGCACGTTGGCACATAGACACACAGGTTTTTTGGATAATTAACACTAGCTTTGCGATGATCACGCGTACAAACAATTAAATAGGCACTTTAACCTGTGATATCACCAATTAGATAATGTTTTCATATCACGTCTGACAAGAAAAAACGTCCTAATTTGCTTGTATTTTTGTTGAAACTTGAAAGAGGGGACTATGTGGCATCCTTTAATTCCGAAAAAATCTAAGAGACTGAACACACCCTTTGATAAATAGGTCTCATTTACATATTTTTATTGTTTTTGTTTTATTATTATTATAGATAGATAGATTGAATCATTAGTACTTTATATATTTCACTTATATACTTAACAGGACCTCGGTTAACAGGTTGCTGGAAGCAATACCCATCACTGACAAAGAAGACTACATGATTTTTGAATATCTGGACTATGATCTGGAGAAATTCATGAAGAAATTTCCCAAGAAATCTAAGAATAAACAAAGAATAAAGGTGGATCAATAGA